TCTAAACATAGTATCTCCAGTTTTTCAAAACTGATTACATGAAGTTTTATTCTACTACTTCTACTTTTAAATGTAAACTTATCTGCTATTCACATTGCACTAGTAAATAAATCTATGTAAAGCAATGGTTATTATCTGAGCTATCTTCTAAACGTAACCATCTGGGCTTTGACCACTTTCTTCTTTTCTCCCTTCTTTCTGCCTTCAAACCAGTAGACAAATATAGGTATATGCAATGCTTAGGAATTACTGAACAAATTCATATTCCCAAATCATTTACACAGCAATCTTTCCTTAAATTTTAACAGTGTACACAATGTGCTAATTTTGTCATACACTGGCAACCTCTTTAACATTTACAGAGTAGAAGCTGACATATGTGCATTATATGTAGTATACACAGAGGAAAAGAAAATGCAAATATATAGAAGTGGCATCTGAAAAGGTCCCATATAAAAAACACTAACTCGATGTCTTCCATCGCTTCCTTCAGAGCACTGAGCAAGTACAGACAGTACTGCTCACAGAGAGGCTCATAATTCTACTCCCAAAGACAGCGTTTCATGAATTTTAGCAAAAAGATATTTACAAAGGGCTATTTTACTACCTCTACATTTAACATACGGTGGGCACTTCTAAACATCTAGATAGACCAGACGTTTCAAGTAAGGACTGTTGTCCACTATGTACACAGCAGTCCAGTAAACAGCACACATGGAACAAGAGTAATAATTTCAAAAAATTTAACACAAAAAGAAAAATTTTAACACAAAAATACAAAATATTGTTCTACTACCTCTACTTTGTCATACACTGGAAACCTCTTTAACAGCTAGAGTGACTAGATGCTGTGAATAGGACTCCTTTGTCCTTTATCTATACTATATACATATACACAGCAAAGCCAAACAAAATGAGACAGTGGGTTTTTTCCAACCATGGAGCACAATGACTTAAAGCTGTACATTTCCTTCTCCTGGAAACCAGGCAACAAACACAATGTGGTCAACTCAGGAGGGCTTTGGCTATTCCTCCCCAAACAATATTTCAAATGAATCCTAACAAAACATATTTGCATAATGTATTGTTTTACAACTACTTATAAAATAGGTCAGTCACTTTAGAGTATCTAGAAAGATATTTTCCAAAAAATACTTGGCATTGTCAAACACATACCACAACATACCCCCCCAAAGACACGCACACAGGCACATACACACACGGGGGGGGGGTTGAAATGAATAAAATGCATACACAATGCAATACAATAAAAAAAGACGTCTTCACACGACCAATCTGGCTGCTGACCTGCTCTTCCTCCTGCTGGGTCCTCTAACCTATTGAACAAACTAGGACAAGTGTCGCTCCTGGGGTCTTTTCTAGAGGTGTCTTAAACAATACCATTGCAAAGTCACTTCTAGAAGGCATGTCTATGATGTTTTTAAAGACAACTGGATACACACGTGTGATATCCTACATCTACTTGACCCTGAGTCGGCAATCTCTACAGCTAGATGTCCAGGTATAGCCAAAGGTCTCTCTATAAGGGTTGGGGGAAAGGTTGAGAGCAGCTTTTCCATATTATATACAAGGCCTTCTATGGTGGCTGGTACATCTTCGCCAGCGTTTCAGACTGGCCTCATATGCTGTCATGTCACTGTTACGATAAATCTTTCCGCCAAAAGCTGCCTGAGCCCCACTGCCACGTGTGAGCTTTATGCCAGCTGCCTGCCCGAGTTAGGCCCAAATGAATACACAGAAACTTGTATTAGGTTCAATGCTGCTTGGCCAATAACTAGGATTCTCATCTGTTAGCTCAGTCTTAACTATCATAAACCTATATATTTTATAAGACTTATCTTATCGGACACCTTATTGGTGTCCCTCCTTGTCGGTGGATCACTTTATGCCGCTGGAGCAGGACCCAAGGGGAAAAAAGGGCCCTTCCTGTTTCTCCTTTGCTTAAATATGAGTCTCCTTGCTATGTCACTTCCTGCCTTCTCTACTATATTTCCCTGAATCCTCTTTGACTCCTAGTCCTGCCTAACTTGCCGTTTCATCGGCCAAACAGCATTTTATTTAATAATCAATAAGATAAACATACAGAGTACATTCCCCATCATGTCACAGCTTTTTTCAAGTGGAAGGAGGACCCAAGCCCCCATGATCCGTCCTTACTCCAGGCCGCTATGCTTCCTCCAGGACCCTGGAGACCTCTTCTGATCCAGGTCTCACGCCATTTCAACCCAGTGAAGGCCTAGTGTTCTGTGCAGATCTGCCGCCTCAGGCTGCAGAGGCCCCAAAGGGCCAACCTTGGGCTTTGGGTGGCCACCATTCTTCCCTCCAAGCCGCGTCTGCCAACTTTGGGGGAGTCCTCGAAGGCCTGGCTGGGACTTCTGCATGGTCCAGCATTGGAGAACAGGAGTCCGGCAGGGTCGAGGAGGTCGAATGGAGAGGGCGCCGCCATAATGGCACTTCGTTGGCAGAGGAAGAGTCGCTGTAGGGTCGCAGATGGGCCTGGCCAGCACTGCTGTGTGGGCTCGTGCTCCTGGGGTCCACAGGACTTAGCTGCTCCCTGGTCCCTTGGCTCGCCAGGCTTAGGCCAGAGGCGGTGGCCGGCCTGGAGAAAGGAGGCCACAGTCCCTAGCTAACGAAGCTCTCTGCCTGAACTCCTATGCGTTAATTTCTATGTGAAGTTATTCATAGATCCAATCATCAACCTCAAGATTCTCTTCTCTTTGGCTTCCACCATGTATTTTAAGAAAATCTGTCAACAATTCTGTAGCTCAACAGTTCTCCTAGACAACATGCTGAGAATCTCAAGAGTAGGGATTCCCACCATGTGCTGGTGAAGCCAACATTGGATGTGAGTGCTGGGGCAAGGATGCGGGTACTTATAATTTTATGACAAAGACTTTGCCATCTGAGGCATCTTCCCAACACAATCCCCTACTACCTGCTTTCTTAAGCCCAATGGTCACCATGAAGGTTCCTATCTGTCACTCTCATGAGCTGGGTGTTCATCAGAATGTGGAAGCCCATATCCAATTCCCCAGGACAGAGGATAAGTGGTGCCTGTCTGTCTGTGTCAATGTGAATTTGGACTCTATACTAACCAAAAGATGACCAAAGATGAACAACACTAAGAAATTTTCTGCATGTTGGTCAGAACTGTCATCAAAATACTAGAGGTTTAGCCAGGTGGAGTCAGCAGAGCTCCTGGCCTCCTCATTCTTACTAGGAAATGTCTCTTCTGAGGCTCTGTGGGGGCTTTACTGATTGGGAATTGCAGGTGACCATGGGGTCTATTGATACTTCTCATCCTATGATCCTGTTACTTGGGTTTCTAACTTTGCCAGTGTGTGTGTCTGCTATGAGGGATATAAGCTACACTCCATGAGTTGAGAGCATCCACAGTGATCCCAAGTCCGCAGGAGATCCCTTTTTCCACATCTTGACAGCAGATTGTGCTGTGGCCTAAACTTACTGTATGCTGTGAATATGTATGCCACTCACTGGTTGATGACAAAGCTGAATTGACCTCTAACAAGGCAGGATTAGGCTAAGAGGAAAGCCCAATGAAGATAAAGTGAGAAATAAGGGAAGAGTCATGAGAGACATGAGCCAGCTGCCTGAGAAACAAGATGCCAGAGATCAGGTAGAGCCAGAGCCATGTAGCAGTACATAGATTGATAGAATTGGGTGAAATAAATGCAAGAACTATTTAGGAAGAAGCCTCAGCTATAGGACAATGCTTTTAACAAATATAAACTTCTGAGTGCTTGTTTAATAGTGGCTTCAGGATGGGATGCCACAGAGAAACCTCTGTTTACATATGGTTCCTAATGTGGTGCAGAAATTTCCACATGAGAACTTTAAAAGCTTAACAAATGGTTCTATACACATACGCATGGGGTGAAATGAAGCTTTTTGGTAACTGTCTTTTTTCTGGTTTGCTGTTGTTTTACAGAGCAAAGGCTCCGTTAAAGCGCAATTTCCTGGTTTGTGGTGAGGGAAGAACAGCATTTTTGGGAGGTCCAGCTTGGAAGCACTTGAGCGGTTTTTGTAGGCATCAGGCTGAATGCTACATGGGGACAGTGTAGAAACAACAGATTCCCAGAGTTGGGAGGTGATAAAAATGATGTGTTAGGACTCCACCATGAAGCTATGCTCTTGATGACCTGAGCGAGGGAAGCCCAACTCCAAAGGAACTGATATGGTCCTACCCAGTCTCGCTTAACAGTTTAAAGGCTCATGTTGTCAGAAATAGAAAGACATACACAGTAAAAACAGATTCAGGCAAAAAGAAACCCTTGAAATGTTTGAGGTTGTTTTAAAAATGTAATTAGTTTTGGGAGAGGCAAAGAAAGGGTAGAAACAGTCATAGATTTCTAAAAAAAAAAAAGTTATATAAAAACTAAGCCATGTAATAATGGAACACACACATAGCATTGTGTTGGTAAATTTTCAAACTGCTAAGAGACCTAAGAGACCTATGAACCAACCTGCATGTTTTAAACTATCTCAACTTCAAAATGTAAAACCAATCTTATTTTATTTTGGAGGAGAGATTGTGTTTTCATTTCCACAGGGAATGAGAGGCTCTAGATTCAGACTCTGTTATAAAAAAAAAATCAGGTTCAATAGAGGAAGACCCCTTGAAATCCTGTCTAAGACATAAAGAAATAACCTAAAGTAAACTTTAAGACACATGATGTCTAATTACCTACTCAAACATAGAACAAGGTGTTCATCTTTGACTGGCTTATGTACAATGTATAGTGTGTCTTGTATTAATACTGGTATGTATGTACCCTTTAAATGTTTGAGTCCTTTTAGAACAAGGGCGCAGGACACCAATATAAAGCAATGGACCTTGGAGAATCCAGCATCCAAAATAGCTTTGAGATTGACTGAGATGATCCAGTCTCAAAGATTACTACACCCAAGGATTAGCCATAATTTTAATGTTCTTGGTGACCCTTAAAGATCTTAAGGGGAGTTGATTGTAATTGATATTTATAGTAGTCAATCTCTTTCTAAAAGAAGAAACTGGGATATGATATAGAAATGATTTGAGAAAGGGTAGATTATTGAATCTAATTTATCCAAAAACAACTGTTAATCTCCAAACCTTTTACATTGGTATGGATTTTAGTGTATCACTATAAATTTTTGGTTAATTTTTTATACTGTATGTAGAATCCTACTCTTGTTAACTTTAAGATATTCTGTTTATGTAGCTCAATTAAAAATGTAATTTACATAACTTAGAAATACAGATTTGTAAAAGTACATATAGTCATCTATAATACTCCAACTTAATCCTGTTAGGTTTTCTAGATATACAAGGACATTTTTCAGATAAATAGGTATTCTTCAAATATTTCAAAGACCTAGAGAATCTGGCATTTTCAAATGTTTTAATAAAAGATTTTTATGACAGTGAGACAGGTCTGATCCTGGCAACACCTATCAAATTCAAATATGATAGTCATCAAAGAAACTCTGTATGGAGTTTGTTTTCTTTATGACAAAAGCTAGCCGTGTGCGCAAAGGAACTGCACTTTCCTGACTGGACCAGCAGAACACAAGACAGGTGACTACTGAGCTTTACCAAGACAAGGTAGGTCACTCCTTCAAATTTTCCTGCTTCTCAAAAACATCTGTCAGAAATGCTAGGTTTGGAAGCCAAAAATTAGAGGTGCCATTGTTATAAAATACTTTTGGATGACAGTCCAGGCACTCTGTCTCTGTCATTATGTAACATTTCATTCTTCTGGAAATCTAATGAAGTTGAAAACTAGATGATTATAGTCATACTTTTGAATAACTTTCCATATAATTTTCTATAGTTTCTAATCAAATAGAAATAGATGAGTTATTGTGACTATAATTCTTACTTGATAACTGTTTTGTTGAGTGGAATTTACACTGTAAAAATATAAAGATAAAATCTTTCTTTTGGACTAGACAAAATAGTGGAAAATGCTGTGGGCTAACTCATCTGTATGCTGTGAATATGTATTCCTCCTATAGATTGATAATAAAGCTACTTTGGTCTGCAGCAAGGCAGGATAAGGCTAGGTTGGAAACCCAAACAGAGATACAGGGAGATAGAAGGACAAGGTCATGAGATAACCGAGCCAGCCACCCAAGCAACAAGATGAGAGGAGGCCTGTGATCTCAAGACCCTGAGCACAGCAGGCCTTCATAGCTTCTCCTGGGTTCCTCATGTCAATGCCATCAAGAAGCACTAAGCACCAGGGGCAGGGGGGTTGTTGGCGCACACCTTTAATCCAAGCACTCAGAGGTAGAGGCAGGAGGATCTCTATGAGTTGGAGACCAGCCTGGTCTACAAGAGCTAGTTCGAGGACAGCCTCCAAAGTCACAGAGAAACCCTGCCTCGAAAAACCAAAAAGAAAAAAAAAAGAAAAGAAAAGAAAAAAAAAGAAACACTAAACATCCTTGTGGCCATGCTGCACACTTGACATATGTATGGGCTTAACCCTCAGCTACCTATCAGGCATGTGCTGCCAAACCAAAGAGCTGCTACAAGTGTCAATGGCAAAGTTGTAGTGTGGGACAACTGCAAGAAGTTCATGCTACTGTGAAGAGCACACAGGATTAAAACATTGTGACTGAGACCTTCCTGCTGTTGCAATATTTCAATACACTTGGTATAGGATACCCTATTTTTCGTTGTGTTCTTATTTTTTAGGATAAGACATGAGTCAAGATGAAATATCAGTTGAACATTTAATAAATTAAAGGAATTTCCAAGTCAGCCCTGGAAATTTGTTCCAACTATGGAGAGTGTAACACTACTCCAGGTTCATATGTATTCCTGAGGTGTCACCATCAAGCAGAAATATCCCATAGAGTCCACAGTACTGAGTCACTTTGGGAAGGTTCCCACACAAAGCTAAGATTGTCATTCTGTGGTAGTCACACACAGGCAGCTGACAACAGTTCACCCTGCTGTTCTTCAGGGATTCCAGCCATACACAGGCTTTTCAGCAGACACACCTGAAGAGACAAAAAGTAAATTGAAACCACATGATCTTTGGTTTGAATGCTGGTGAACACAAATTAATGCAGGATGACAAACATATCATACTTGAGAACAATCATTTATGAAAGATGAAACCTTCATGTATGTTTTCTTCTAGTCATGATTCTTCATGCATCTCACATTTTGTTTGTGGGTGGTGGATGGCTCATCTCTATGTTCTAGATGACTTGCCTGCATTCCCTCCTTTTGGGTGATATGTGTAAAAATGGACAGCATCGGTTCACTGGCTGACAAAGGCATAGAAGTCACTACATGCATTCCTGAGAAATGATCACAGGGAAGAACAGGCTTGGTGCCTTTGGCCCTTTAAAAGGAAGTGGACTGGCCCATTGGATGGTATCCCTAATGGATTCTGTGACCTTGTCTGTTAGGGACAGATTTATCTCCCATTGGCCATGACTAGTAAGCTTTGATTAGAGGACAGATGGCCAGACATATGATGGCTTCCATGGTGCTTAGCCTGAATTCTCTGGCCATGGCCCCCATTCAGCTTCTCCATGACAGGAAATAGATCAGGAGGTTACAGTCACACACAGTTTGCCACTTCCCTCAATTCCAAGGCATCATGAGCAAAACTGTGAAAGTCATCCCCTGCTCACATTCAAGTCTTTCACAAGCCAAGAACTTGATTAACTGGACACTCCCTGAACTCCATGGTGCCCTGTGCTGGCCCAGGATGTATGTTCACATTGACTACTGTATCTGAGATAGTCAGGGGCTGGAAGTCACTGGAGATGAATGTTCCATATATTTGTGAAATTTGCTACAGAGGCTGTGGCATGGGCTGGTTGATGGGCTCTTCCACTGTCAGTTATGGCAGAACACTGATGGTCTTGAGAGTTCTGTCTCCCAATGAGAATTGTGGAGAGTGCCTGTTGTTTGATCTTTTTCCCAACATAGTATCATGATCTAGCCCATTCTGACCTCGGGAGGTTGTCAAGATCATCCAGTTGTGTAAGGAGAGACAAACTGGGCTCCTCTAGTTGAAGGTCTCCACAAAAGAAGCTTCTTTAGAAATAAAAGTGGAGTGCATGAGTCTCTTAAATCTGCTAGAGATGTGCATGGAGACTTAGGTCTGGAACATTGGAACATGAAAGACCCCCGCAGAGGTACTTTCGTGGAAGAAGACCCACACCTAGGAATCAGCGAAACCACGAACTTTGGATGCAAGAACAAGAGGATTTATTAATAACACGGATATCTGGGGCTTAGCTTCTGTTTTGCCAAGCCCCGAGCCCCGGAAGGAGGGTCCTTTTTATAAGGGAAAACAGGCATAGTACAGAAGTGAAAAGCATCAAATCAGCATTTTCTCAAGGTTTAATAGCCAGGCGAAATGGCCTTATCTCCTGCCGGTCCAGATGGCTGGCCTTGGGACGGAGCGATCCTGCGGGGGGTTGGCCTTGCGTGGGGCGGGGAGTGAGGGCCAGCAGCTGCAGAGATCAAAAGGTCGGGAAGAGTGCTAAGGAGGGGAGAGTGCTAAGGAGGGAAGGATGTATTCGCGCGCCCCGCCAGCTGCCGACCAGAGTAGAAAGGCTACGGCCGGGGGGGGGGGGGGGGAGGTCTTTCAAACACATGCATGGAAGACAGACACTGGTGTTATCTACTCTCTGAGAATTCAAGAAGAGCAGAAGGGTTGGGATATCAACTGTCAGATCCCAGGGCAATTCTACCCTAAGAGTTTCCTTTTCCAAGTTCCTGGTTAATATTTGGTGTTAGTTTGAGTAACAATGGCCCCCATCGATGAAAATGTCTGGATACTTATCCCCACTAGGTGAAACTGTTTGGGAAGGAAGAGGAAGTATGGTCTTGTTAGAGAAGATGTCAGTAGAGGGTCCCAGAGCATTAAAGATTCACAAACCAAACCTATTGGAAGTCATCTCTGAGTCTGTGTCATTCTTGAGTTTCAGAGATGATCTAGTAGCTCCAGGTCCAATGCAATGCCAGCCAGCCAATTGCTGGATTCCAAGAAGATGGTCATGTACTGTCACCCTCTGCAAATGTGGACCAATAAGGATCCTGCTTTCTCTCCTAAGTTGCCTTGTTCACAGTGCTTTGTCATGGCGGTAGATTAGAAACAGACAGGAGTGGGCAAATTCAGTAAGTGAATGCCAGAAAAGAAAGTATTTTGTGTCTACCTGCACCAAGTTCTTATCTCACATGCTTGCTCATCTGGAAAATATTTCAAGAAACAGGGAGACAAGTGTCAATCCCACTTTACCAAGACTTGCCTGCTCACGGCACCAACACTGCCATCAGGGCTGTGCAGTGTAGGCTGCCCCAGAGACTTATGTATGCAAGCTGTCCTCTGCTGTGGCTGTGGAAGTTGATTGCAATTTGCTAAACAAACACAATACCCATACTCCCAAAAAGAATGCCAGAATTCACAGCATAGAAAAGAAAACCCAATGTCATTGTGAATCACATGAAGATGAGGCTTCAGAAACTCATCTTCCACTCAAAGGTACCCTTGGGGAATTCAAACTGCTTCATCAAAATCAGTTGTTCTCAACAGGGGTAATGCGGGAAATTACCAATACAGAGCCAGGTAAAAATATAAAGGAGTTTAATAGGGAAAAGCCTTACTTAGAGAGGGACCTAGCCTGCAGGCAGGGCAGCAGTCTATTCAGCAAGGCAAAGGTGAAACTGAAAGTAGATCTGCCTCACTCTTAAATGCAAGGCCATATACTCTCTAAGCTAAGCTAAGCTGTTTTGTAAGTGTCCTTTATTCTACATCACCCTGACCATTCCCACACTGGCATAGTCAGGCACACCTGTAGCCAGACCATAAGCAGGCATGGCTACAGCATCCCCTACACAAGGGGGTGTCAACCTCTTTGGGGGCCAAAGGAGTCTGTCATAGGGTCACCTAAGGCCAGCAGGAAACAAAGATATTTACATTATTATTCCTAACAGTTGCAAAAATAATCATGAAATAGCAACAAAAATAATTATATGGTTAGAGGACCCTGCAACATGAGGATATGAATTAAAGTGTCACAGCATTAGGAAGATTGAGAACCACTGATCTAAATGATCCCCTAAGACAAGATTCTGGATTACCTGTCATCTGGGATGTCCTTGCTGATTCAGTGATCTGTTCACAGCGTGCATGGTGACCTTGAGGACCCACAGACACCTCTTTTAGCAAGAATGCTCTATATTCATGGCTGACATCTTGTACTTCCCTGACAAAGAATGTTTGCTCCTAGTCTACAGCCTGAATGCGGGCACTGGGCACAAACTAGTCCAAGGATGCTGGTCTTGTCTGGAGTGATGCTTCACAGCCCTCTCGAGCCCTACTTACCTGTACACAGTAGACATAAAAATCCTGGCATTTTAGTGAATTGAAGACAAAGAATCACTCACTGAGATAAAACTATTACACCGGCTTCTGGCCTTCTGGGATAGGGAGAGAGCAGCATGGATGCCTGGTGGAAGGAGGCTGTGAAGTAAAGGACACAGGTGTTAGTTGCACGATCAATCCAAGATTGGTTAGAGCAGAATGAGAGAGGTCATGAGAAGGGTTTGGCTTGACCTCCCTGGGATGGCATGCTCTACTGCTCCTGGGACCTCATGTCCTACAATCCCAACTCTCTTCCATAGAGAATTAGCTCCTAACCCTGCGCTACCAAGGTCCAGGCCTCTACCCTACAGGCTCCCCCTTAATCTCAGCTGCCTGACTGGAACTGGAACTTCCTATAGGAAAGCCCCCTTATGCTTCACCCAGCTTCATGCCCTTGCCTCATCATTCCCTTAGTTTCTTCTCTCTTCACAGCTATCACAGGACCCTTCTCTCCTCTCTGCCCCTCTTCCTGGGTCTCCTCACCTTCTTAGGTTACAGGGTGTATGGACTTTTTTACATCTGGTCTATCTATGACAAAGACCAAAATGAGCTCAAGTCATGTGGAACGCCAGTTGTATGCCGGTTTTGCAGAAGCTGGAATGCTGGCTCTTTAAAACAGGGTGTCCTTGTGGCTAGCTTCTCTTTCCAGCCATGGTGCTGGGACAGCTTTGAGTTGAAGTTGTAGGAGCTAACAGCTCCCACTGCATGGAGAGGACAGACAGAGAGCTTGTGCCCAGGCTGCTGGAGGTTTCTGATGGGGAACATCGTATTTGGGGTACACAACTCTCTAGGGTTCTGGCCTGGCTCCCTCATGTGGCTGGTAGGCCACACCAGGCCGAACAGGGTTCCAAGCTTAGGAACCATGGACCCAGGCTTGTTCTTCAGACCTTGAAAGAGACACAAGAAAAGGACTCTGTTAGTGACAGTGACATCAGCAAAACTTAACACAGGGTTGCAGTTGCATAGCTCTCCATAAGATTCCTCTCCCCCTACCTATTCCCATCCCCCCCCCCCAAGACCAATTCCCTTCTCCTCCCTTCCACTGCCCCTGGTTGCATCGTTTGCTTGTCTGCTTCAGGCTCAACTTGCCCAGGATCCACAAATGAAATACACTAGGGAAAGTCACTGGGCTTGCCTACTTGCTTTCCTTGGGACTCCATTTCCCATGCCTTGCTGTCCCTTACCTGGGGACTGTGTCTTCTGTCTCTGGGGTGAGAAGGCAACAGCATAAAAAGGAAACTATGTGACTAACCCCTTTCCAGACCCTTCTGTGCTTTTTCATGGAACCTGTGGCTACCTACTGGGTCTGGTCCCGGTTACAGGTGGGTGGTGACTCTTCAACTGTTATTTCGTGGACACTTTCCTATCCAGGGTTCTCATTCTGAGGATAGTCCATGATGTTGATAGAGCATTTGTTCTCTCACTGCACTGTAAATTAATTTGCTTTGGGTCTTTAGATGTGTTGATGCTAGTGATAACCTCAGAATCATGCTGTGTTGCTGGCATCCCTGTGTTGCCAGTGTCTTCAGGGACCCAAAGCCCATCAATGGATGAGAGTCTGAGACTGAAGTTCTTACCTGTCTCCTCGTTCTCAGCCTCCTCGGCATCATGGGGAGATGAGTTATAAGAAGTGCTTTCCTCCAGGCAGGATAGGAGATCCTCAGGTGAGTCCCTATCACCAGATAAGGTAGTAGACTCTGTGTCCTCCAATTTTTTTTGTTGTTGTTATATGCAGGCACAGTAGAAAACTGTGGGACCATATTCCAAGGCCAGGCGACATCCAGCAGCTTGTAGGACAGCTGGACATAGAGGACCTCTGGCTCTTTCACTTCATTCAACTCTTGCCTTTTGTATTCTTCAAATGTCAGAAATGTGGGCAAGGTGGGTTCACTCCCTGCCCACCTTAGGGTGTGCGGGATAGTGGGAGAAACTTCAGAATGCTTCTTTGGAACCTGCCATACTTCCCCAAGGATATCAGTATCTCTTTTTCTCCTGTCAAACTTATTGGGTTTTGCTAGGGCATCATTGAGCCTACTTGTTCATTTGAGTTCCAGTGTTTCTTCAGCCATGGGGCCTAAGGAACACATAGTATCTACAATGGTGGAGATGGACACCCTGGAAACATGTTCTCTTGATATTGACAGTAAATCTCCATCACAGAGATTTATGTGTAGAAATTCTTCCTCCATGTTCACCACCTTGACAGTTGGGGAATGGACCACCACAAGATTCTAGAAGTAAAAAGACAGAAGCAGGTCTAGTAGATGAATTTATCACTCTCAATTTCTACATCATGAAAATCATAGCTACCTCAACATCCTAATGATAATCTTGAGGTCAGAGGTTAAAAAATATGTGCCAACCCAAACCCTAAAGCAATTATGAGAAAGCATAAGAAAGATCAGAGATGAAATAAATGTTCACTTAGTGGTTGAAAGAAAATACAAAGAAACAAAGATCTGGTGACTTGAAAAGATGAATCTGGGAGAATATGTGGGAAATTGTAGTTTCAGGAATATGGGAGAAATTGTAGTCATGTGCTATCATTTGGTGTTACCTGTACAGACTGTCACAGAGAGTAGGGGGGAATGTCTCAGTGACCTCCATTCTTTACAACATCTAAAGAATGAGCATCCCAACAGTCAGCCATTTCCTGTGGTCTCATTGCAAAGGACCCATGATATTGTGTCTATTTATATAACATGATCTTCCATATGTCCTTGGCCTGGCTGACATTCCTCCAATTTCTCACCTATAAAGTGGGATAGGAATAGATGCCCTTGGCTGAAATGAGTCTGAAATGGTTAAGAGAACTTGCATCTCTGTTCCTGACACTCATGGAGAACTCAGTATATAATTGCTTTCAATTACACTAAACCTTGGACCTTTGATATGTTAAAAAACAAGCCAAGAGCAATTGTTAGAATAGGGAGTGGTAATACTAGTAGGACAGGCACTAATATCTTTGGATGCTTTCCTCAACCCTACCAGGACCAAGAGTTTCAGGTGCCTAAGCCATCCAATTTGGGGTCAGATAAAAAACCTTTAAGGCATTCCAACTCAGCTAAGCTTTCAAGGACCATTCCAAGTGCTCTACACAGATACATCCTAACCTCCTCAAGGAACTGTTGCCCACCACTTTGGACTCAGGCTTTGGCTCCAGACCTCTTGCTGAGGTTTGACATGGCTATAGAAGGGACTTGCTGTAAAACAGCCAGTCAAGCACCTTTGCATCCAATACTTGTGTTCAGGTTGATTCTATTTGCTGCACAGCATCAGATGGTGGCCAGCTCCAGACACAGTTAACTCTCTTTTGCTCATAAGCTGACCATTCTTTTTTTGTCCTGGAGCCATGAAAATATCCAGCTTTTCTTCTCTCTTGGTTGATAGCTTCCTATTATCTCATAATTTTAGCATTAGGTCTCATTCTACATCACTGGGATGCAGTGATGGGTACAGACTACAAATCGGAAGACAGGAGCAATGAGTCCTTGTCTGGGTTGAAATCACATCTGCACATTAAGGAAATTCAACACCAACAGACAGACTGGGATTCCCCTGAGGTTAAGAAGGCAGGGTCAAGCTACCTTAGGGATGTGAGAAAGTGAAGAAGGGAAGGAGAGATGGAAGACTCGTGGAAAGACTAGGGAAGAAGATGTGGGTTACAGGCATACACTGGGAGTGTGAAGTGTCTTTCTGGTGCATAGAACTGAGCTGGGAACAGTGTGGGAAAGTAGAGGATGTCCTGGGAACTGTAAGAAACCTTAGCTTCTTCAAAGCTTACCAGGAATTCAGTGATGGAACTACCACTGATTTTATGATTGAATACTTAGAACAAGAATTTTTAAGTAAATGGAAAAAATCTATAAAATGACCAATGAAGAATAAAATCATCCATAACAACACACCCAGGGTTCATCATTTGGCTGTTTTCACATTTAATTTTCAGTCTTTTCCTAAAATTGTATATACCTCTATATATATATATATATATATATATATATATATATATATATATATATCTTCTTTTGTCTGTTCATCATGAATGCATCGTTGTATCTTCCATCTACAATCTCTTTTAGTTTTTCTCTTATACAACATAACATAAACATATTCCTTAATAGTAAGCCCTCTTGCCCATTACCACCTTTCTGTAACTCAATATTGCCTTGTAAGAATGAGTACTAATTACTGACTCTTATGATAGTAATGCTTGAGAGTGATTCCATTCTTTACTACTGGAAAAATGCATGAGCTTTCTGAAAAATTTTCACAGGCTTCCAAGATCTTTAGTCTTAGGATAATTCTAAACAACAGTGAGACGGACAATTTGTATGGTTACTTATATTCAGGCTTTTTATTTTCCAATAGTTTGGGTTTGTCCTGGTAGGTACTTGAAGTGTTTTTTCCATTCCATTAAATTTCTTACCCTGAACTCAAGCCACATCTTGCTGAGATCCTCTTAGGGAATGTCAAAACAATAGCTGCCTGGCAATTGTGCTAGGATATGTGAGAAGCATTCATATCCACAGAACAACAGGATTACCAGGTGCATGCATGGATAAACCAGAAGGTAGAAGTAACCCTAAAAGGCAAGTGTCTCATGAATCATAGTAGTAGTTACATTTCTCCTTGCTGTGACAAATGCCCAACAAAAGCAGCCTAAAGAAGAGTTTCTTTGACACAGAGTTTCAGGATGCAGGTTAACATGGCAGGGAAGTCACAGCAGAAATAACTGATGTGAATGGTCACATGGAATCCATAGAGAGGATGCAGAACAGACTGAATGCTAATGCACAGCTCACTGAGGACCTCAGATCTTCAAAACAATGTTGTTTAACAGGGGGTGGAAATCAAACATTGTGGTATCCTCCAGAGTAAAACAATTTATTCAAAAAAACTTATAAAATACCATGACAAAGTGTGCTCAAGCTTCACACTTGGGCAATCCCCTTTGGCTTTGGACAACCTTTGGAACTTAACTATACTTTGATTTTCTCCCTTGTTGTCTTTGTCTTGGGCTGATCACCCAGTGAGTCAGCATCCCCATGTAAACAGGGGCCCACATGATGGGCAGCCTGCTAGTTACAGGTCATAAGAATGATGCTGCCGTTGTGATGCAGCTTCCAACTTCAATTAATCTGATATAGAAATTCCCTCACAGCATTGTTTAGAGGTTTATCTTTAGGTGCTTCAGGATCCATGTTCAAGTTGATGCTAACCATGATACCATCTTGTGCACATAAAATCCCCTCTCCTCTTACCTGACAGGTGTTGTCTCCTCTGGCCAAGAACCTCTTCCACAGAGCCATTTCTGAGAGTGGTGTGGTGGTCAGTACAGGCCTGGTTAAAAAGAATATCCAGTCTGTGATTGAAATAGGTCCCGGACAACTCTTGTACCCTTTGCTGAGCTTCCCTTGGGTCCTTGCTGGTCTCTCTGGGTTTGGCATGTGGCTTGGATGCTCAAACAGTTCTAACAGTAAGAATTGCTGGGCAAAGGGGCTGCTATTTGGCTCACAGATTAGACACATCCTGTGATTTCTGAAGTTCCTTCATGTGAATCATGTTACTCCAACACCCTGTGAGTCTGCCCAGAAACTAAAAGATGAAGGGAATCTATAGCTTACTTGAGGCCAAGTATTTAGTAAGTGGAAGAGGTAATATCCAAAAACAAACAAAATTTATCCTCCATTGTAAATTACCTCTTCAGAGACATTCAAGTTAGAAAACATTGTTCGAGAGCGTGCATGCGTGTGTGTGTGTGTGTGTGTGTGTGTGTGTGTGTGTGTGTACATGGTGCTTGGGATAGACTCTGTACCTTTTTAAACAGTGAAAAGCTAAGAGTGGTGCAGGTATCAATTATGTAACTAGGACTTGTTACAATTATTCCAATTAGTGATAGAGGCAATATTCTATTAGATCCAATATCTACATTTGGCAATTTAGAGCAATAGTTATCACCCTCCAAATGCTGTGACACTTTAAAATAGTTCTTCATGTTGTAGTGACTGCCAGCCATGAAATTATTTGCATTGCCACTTAAAAACTCTAATTTGTTATTGATGTGAATCATAATATAAGTATTTGTATGTAGGATATATTTTCATTTTTCCAAATTGAACCAAAGGGCTACAATGAACAAGTTGAGAACTGATTATATGGGGCCTTTACAAACCCTTAATAACCACAAAAAACTAGATGTGCAAACCAAATATGGTAATGCATGACTATAATCCAAATACCAGGGAAAGCAATGTAGGTAAGTAGAGCTAATGCAAGACCTAGGCAACCCTGGTCTATATTCTATGTCGTAGTCCAGCAAGGTATAGTTAGTGAAACTCTATCACAAAAACAAACAAGAAAGGGTGAATGAAATAAAGAAAAAAGAGAAAATGGAGCCAGAGGGAAAGGCAAGGTTAGAAGGAAGATGAGGCGGACGGCAATAAAAAAAAATGGGTCTACTGTCTGTTTTGTGGAGGACATAGTCTTGGGTCCAATCTAGAATCCACTCTCTACATTGATGGAGGAAGTAGTTGTTACTCATGACCTCTGATGTTGTCTGTGATTTTTTTAAGCTGATTGCTATGATTTCTGGCTGTAGGAACACCACATCAGCTGTCATGGTTCACTGCCTGCGCCAGAAGACAGAGAAGGAACGCTTGGAGTTCACACTGAAATTGGTACGTGTCCATTCTACTTGCCTCTATTCTGAGTTTTTGACCTCAAACTTTACCTATTCTGTTGTTCTTGCCTTGGATAAACTCTAAGGGGACACTGACAGTGTCTCAACTCTCAGGTAGAGTTCAAGTGGAAATTTCATTTCATATTATGAAGAACCCTAAATATCTAAAAGAAGACTATTAATGTATTCCATCTTGAGGAATTTCGTGGAAATCTTCCAGACTTGCTTTTTGAACATTCTTGTCATGTTCTTTATTGAATAACACATCCAATATTCCAGAAAACATAATTTTTAACCTAAATTTCAGGGATAGTCAATTCAGAGTTAATTTGAGTGTAATATAATTACATTTCTCAGACAAGTTTCACATAGGGCAACAAGAGAAACAAAGGTTATCTTCTAAACAAAGGGGACAATTCTCCAGAGCTAGGCCTGGTGTAGCCCAGGGAAGATTAAGGCTAATTGCTAGCACTCTGGCACCAGGCTAGCAAGATTCTGCCAAAGAGACAGGTTCTTCCCCGACATCAAATACACCTACAACCCCATCTCCTCTTGAACACACAGTCCTGCCTACCAATTGAGCATCATTGAGCTGTTGTTCCTGAGGGAAACAGCATTGTTGCCAGAGAGACAAACTTGGGATAGTGCTGAAGAGGGAACACAGGCATAGGAAACAAACATGTTCTCCAGAGTCACAGGGACACCCACTCTAGATCCCAGGGCCTGTCCTCTTCATGCTTCTTCTTATGTCCATTCTTCTCTACCCTGTGTTCATACACAAGAACCCCATGTAAGGCCCAGGTGGGAGAAATTGATACCCCAGGGCACAGGACAAAGTGTAAGCTTTTGTAGGAGGAATGTTCTCAAAACATCCTTTCCCTTTGTGTTCATAGAATCCTGGATGTCAGTGGAGATCATGGAGAGGTAAGGAGCTTCTTGAGTATTACTGGTGTTACATCTAAACAGCATTAAATTCTAGTTAACTATGAATGAAGGCTTTCCCCAAGATTCCCAGAGAAGTCACCTGTCAGTTAAACTATGCATATGGGCAAGAGGTGGGTCTACATGACACCCTGCACAGTGCTCTCAGTCAGCATCTTTATGCCACTTGGACAAGCTCTCACCGTTTACAGTTCTCACTACAAAGATGACCTGATAGGAGAAGGCTGCCCTGAAGCTCTGCTATCAGGAAGCTGGATAACTGGCTACAGTCTCAGTAGTCTTTAGAATACAGGACTGGAGTTATACAGACAGGAGCCTAAGACATTCAGTTCTGAGAACGCTGCCCTCCACCCATGACCCAGGAAACTCACAGACAGTGCCCACAGCCTCATCCCAGCACTGGCTTGTGTCTGGTGTTATTAGTTATGAGCATCTACAGCCTTGTCCTGGGCTCTGTCCCTGGACATCACAGACATTTCCTGAAAACCCTGTGAGGAAAAAATGAGATTCTTTCAGTCAGGTTTTACTGTTTGATAAGAGCTGACTCCTGGCTGATAAAAAACATTAACACGGGGCAGGTCTGTAGATCCCTAGACCTGCAGCAGGATTACTTAGATTTATTCATGCAGTCCATTTGTTTGTTGGTTTCATTTTCAGCACATAAACTCCCTTATCTGTTAAAACCACACAAACATGAGAAACACCTTTGTTCCATTGTTCCATTTGGTTGGTCTAAGGAGTTCTCCTGTTTTACTGTGATTTACTAATGTTTTCCAATTTTTTTTAACAGATGATGGGCTTAGAAGACAAGATGGATGAGAAAATGGCCAGTTCCCTCCTGATGAAGTTCCACTCTGTCCTTACGAGGCTCTAGCCAATCTTGGGGATTTTTTTGGGGAACTAAGTTCAGTGGCTTGCTTTAATCACAGACAAATTCAATGACTGTAAACAATAGTGGTGGCAGGGGTTCACTCCTGACTTTTCTACTCTTCCACTTTGTACCCCAGTATAAGAAACTCCCAATCATTGTTCACCAATGAAAAACCCCCCATGGACCCAGGACAAGTTTCCAGGAGAAAGATTTATTTGGAGAGTTTATACTTAGAAAATATTGATTCCATGAGCAACAAAGGCCCTCAGATTTCTATTTTGGAGACCTAAGACCTAGTAGTTAGGAGGCAAATCAGATAGGTGGGCACTGTGAACTTTGCACACTGGAGGTTTCCTGATTTGCTGATGCATGGCCTTCTGTTGTCAACAGATCCCTGAATAGATAGTCTGGGTTCTGTAAATCCAAAACAAAGCATTTGCTGATGGGAAAATCTACTGAGCCATGTCTTTTTCATTCCATTTCCTAGAAAATGCTTACTTGAATGCTATTTGATAGGATACATGGTGTCATTACCCCAAAGAACATGGAGACAGAGAAAAGCATATTTCCTCTTGAAAGAGCTGAAGATAGAATTCACTATACAACAGTGTCCTAGGTGTCAAGCAAAAGGATCTTTTCTGCCACAAACGATGGAAAAACGTAATTTCAGACACCTGACATCCAAACTTAATGACATACTGCAAGTGGATCTAAAGAATCCTCTCTGGTATAATGACCTGGTTGGTACAGAGCCTGGGTGGTTCATGACCCATGAAGTCTTGTGAACTGTCTGCAGGTGGGAGTGGTCACTTTCTGATCTGTTTCAGAACATCTCTGAGAATATGATTCCAGCATTTATTGAGAAGTATTTAGGACAAACAGAAAAAAGAAAGACCTTCTCCTGGACTTGTTTGGGGATATATTTATGGGTATTCCATCTGCTCTCATGTCCCCTGTCCTCAGAAGTGAGTCCTATGTTGTTTTGAATGTGAGGACATACATTTAATAATGATTCTCTAACTTGGCAACTTCTCAGTCAGGCTTATACATATACACATACACATGCAAATACACATACATGAACATATATATTTGTGTATATGTGCATGTATATATGCATATATGTGCATACAAGTATATACATAGACACACACACACTCACACACATAGTACATGAGGCTAGGATGTTACTCAGTTAGTAGATAGCCTGGCTAGAATGTGGAATGCCCTGGTTCAATCGTGAGTATCATATAAGTCAGACCTAGTGGTACATGTTTGTAATCCCAGACTTGGAAGGAGGCAGGCAAGGAAGGTTAGGTCTTCTTTATCCACATAATGAGTTCAACACCATCCTGATTTAAACAAAACACTTTTCTAAAGCAAAACCAATAAAAGAATGAAAACCCAGGGTCATGAATAGAATTGGGTGAAAAGAATTTCTTCCAGATGAGAAAATCCAAATGGAGAGAATGCAAAGAACTGCAAGGAAAGGAAGTATAAAAATATTTGATGTCTCTGGTACTCCTTTATCCATCTTAGTGAGCCCTGGTTGGAGAAAGTGGCAACTAGGCTATTATCTACCACAGAACCATCTGTCAATGACTTAGGCCTGGACAGATAGAGTATGAGGCTACACATACTTCTTCCTAAATGAAGCAAGAATTGCTTGTGACTATGGGTGCTCTATTCCAGCAATTGTTCTGTGGGTGCTTGGAAAGAATATACATTTTGTTGGGGTTAAGCTGTGAACGATTCTAACTATTCTTCAGTTCCATCATGACCCTTAGTCAAAAAACATTGATCAAGTTCAGTGTTTTATTGTGAATTTTCTGTCTGTATGACCTGGTCATTGTAGAAAGTGGGGTACTGCAATCCACTTCTGCTTTGGTATTATAATTTCTATCTCTCTGTGTCTCTGTGTCTGTCTGTCTGTCTGTCTGTCTGTCTGTCTCTCTCTCTCTCTCTCTCTCTCTCTCTCTCTCTCTCTCTCTCTCTCTCTCTCTGTCTCTGTCTCTGTCTCCTTACTGACACTTTCATATTTGTTTTATCTGTTGATGTACATTGCAGTAGATCTGTATGGATATTCCATTGATGAACTTATTTCTCATCAATACAAAATGTCTTTATTTTTTCTTTTTGTACTTTTTTTTTTACTTAAACTCTATTTATGAGGTAACTATAATCCCCTCTTTCAGCCCTGGTTCCTATTTGGGCATAATATGTAATTTCCCTTCACAGGCAGTCTGTGTATGTCTTTAAAAAGTTGGTGGCAGTTGTTTTAAGACTGCAGAACCTCAGATCTTTAAAAAAAAAAAAACCCATTCAGTCACTACATACACCATTACTAGAGAATGTATATTGAAGGGAATTGTTGACAGGCAAGGACTTATTAAAGCTATTCTCTTGAGTTTTTTTATGATGGATTTGTAAATAGACTCTTTCAGCCTCACTCTCTTGGCCCCTACCAGGTGATTGGATGGTATTTGGACTTACATGCTTTGAGTTTTTGTTTTGATTGTGTGCTTTGCTAAGAAATTTCTCATTGTAGCTACCCTGAGAATCACTTACAGTGATGCCCTATGCCTATGAAACCTACTTTAAGTTGATAATATAACTTTGATTTCATATAACAACTCTACCATTTTACCTACATTTGACTTTTTTTTATGAAAAGAGGGATGAGCAAAGGAGCCAAGATGGGGCTGAAGAGACTTGCAGAAACAGTGGACCTGAAACAACTTTGGAAAGAACCATGACCTTTGAATGTGGGTGCCAGCTAGAAAGCCAAGACAGTCTATGGAACCTCTAACAGTGGAGCCAGTCTTTAACCCTAAAGCACAAATAGATGTCGGGAGCCCATTCCCTATGGAGGGATACTGTTGCAGCCCAGATACAACAAGGATGGCCTGGGCCCTCCCCCAAACATTATGACAGACTTTGAAGGTCCCTGGTGGAGGGCCTCACTGTCCCTCGGGAGGAGTTGGAGGATGGATTGGGGGGGTAGGTGAGGAAAATGGGAGGATGGGACAGTGAGGCAATGGGGAAGATGCATATGTAAATATGAGTGGTAATTAAAGAATTTAAATAAAAATAATAATAAAAATTAAAAATAAATAAATATTTACTATTTTTAAACTATGTGTGTTGTTTAATTGCCTATGTATACCTGTGCACCATGTGCATCTGGTGCCCACATAGGCCAGAAGAGGGCACCAGTCCCTGAACTTGAGTTTTGAACCCCGATGTGGATGTTCGGCTGTGAACCCAGGTCTTCTGTAAGACCATTCAGTTCTCTTAACCACTGAGGCATCCATCTCTGCAGCCCCACTTTTTACATTTTTCATTTTGCTGCCAGAATTCATGTCATTTTGAATGACTATCTTACTGTTAGTTGTTAGCAGTGTTTTTGTACAGAATCTAGTACTATGTGGGATAAAATCCCCTACCTATTACGATTACAGTCCAACAGTGGCCTGAACATGGCTTCACAAGTTTACATCACTGACTTCCATGTTGTTAATTAGCATATTTAGCTTTCAGTTTAAAGGACTCTATCAAATTCTCACAAGGCAGCTGCAGAGACAATGAGCTCCAAGAGCTTCTTTAGAGGGGAGGAGTGTTATTTCTCCCTCATTTCTGAAAGGCATCTTAGTACAGGGCTCTAGCTCATGGCTATTGAATGAATCCACCTGGCCTCCCCTGACGCAAGATTTTTTCCATGGCACCACACATCTTTATATGAGTTATCTCTTGATGCTCCTGAGTATTTCCTTTGTCTTGCATTTTTGATTTTTTTATTGTTTTCATCTTGTTGAAGTTGATTCATGTCCTCTGCACCTCTTGAATACTGATCCCAAATAAGGAGCATGTTTGGCTGAAGTTTTCTAAATGGACTTTGTGCCAGTTCCCTGACTCACCTATACTTATCACATAAATGTCTTTTCTGTTAATGGTAACCCATTGTCTCTATTTTCTTGGTTGTCCTTACAATTGCCTAAATGTATGTCCTACTTACTTTCAAGACATGTAATTACAGAAATTTTATATATGTTCATGGTTTGTAGACACAGCTCTAAAAATATCTTGACAGCATACAGACTAAAACATGCTCCTTCATTCACAAAAGTTCTTTGTTGCATAACTGCAGTCTGGGTTCTTTGATAAAATGAGTGTCAGAGCAAGTGCAAACACTCCTTCAGCATGCTTTGTGCTCCAGCTTTCTTCTCTATCTGTGATAAATCCAACCAAAAGCAATGCAGGAGAAGAAAGAATTTATTTGCCTTCTAAGTGCATGTGCTACTGCATCTTTAAGGGAAGTCAAGGTAGGAACTCAGACGGGAATATGAAGAAGAGATGATGGAGAAGGAGTTTACTGGCTTCCTTGCTCATGTTTAATTACCTTTCTTATATAGCTCAGGACCACCTGCCTAAGGACTGTGCTCACCCTGGTAGGCTGGAGCAATTAATAATCATGAAAAATTCCCCACAGGACAATGTAATCTCCCAATTGAGATTCTCTTCTCAGGTAACTTTGGGCTGTGTCAAGTTGATCATTAAAGCTAATATGGACTGACCTATGAACATATTTTGAGTTAGTGGATTTTAGAGGCAAAGAAAGATTAATTCTAAGGGTGCAAGCACGGGGCCTGTGAGAGATGATGAAATAAATCATTCTTCATATTCATGTTGGAATAACTTACATTACAAAATTATTTTGTGCACAGATATATAATATTACAAGAGACTGATACCAGTGTTTTAAAATAGCATGCACAATATTATCCCAATTTCATATAAATAAAAATCATATGAGCCAAAATGTGGATAGGCTTTCTCTGAGTGGTGCAGGTGTGAGTGCTAGGCTTAACCTTTTCCTTATATGGAGAATTGTTGAATAATTTCTCTACTAGATTAATTTGTGGTCTTACACTTCCCCTCTTAGTCACTCTTCTGTGGATATCTAAACCCTACAAGCACCATGGATAGTGGCAGTCTCCCGAGTCTGGTGTCTCATGCAAGTGAGTGGTATCTATGTAAAAGCAGGCAGCTCCAATGATGCACCCAAGAGGAAAAGGGTCTCTACTTCGGGCTTGAACAGGCATCTTGCTGGAGAGAGGAAATGATAGATAAGATGGGCAAGAGTGTCCCTGTTTTCACCACTCTAATATCTTAAGATCTTAGCTCTTCCAGTTCAAGCAGAAAACAAGATAATGAGGGTGACTGAAGTGTGAACGGCAAGTTTAGTGTTTTCCTTAAAACCAAAGGCATATTTCTGTCTTTGTATACATTTGTATGTGATTATATTAAATACACTCCTATTCCAACAAGCAACTAGATTTGCATGGTTCTGCTGAATGATTGAGGAAAACACTGGGAATGCACAAAAAAGGCTGACTGGGTGCTGATTTCCCCAGATTGAGCAGGCACTGTGTATTGTCAATGAACATACCCAAGCACTCACTACCTGAATTACATCCTCTCATTCTGCATTCTGTCAACACCTGACTCAGATCCCAGGTCTAATTCACACAGCTGTACAAACCCAAAGCAATCGCTGTCCTGCACTAGTAACCAGCAGTTTCCTTCAGGGCTGGAGACCTCAGTGCCACCCAGGTGTCCATCTATTAACATGAACTGTGCATGAATCTATGTCTCCTCAGATGCAGGAGTTCCTACCTACATGTATGAGTTTCAATATCGACCAAGCTTCGTAACTGAAAAGAGATCCAAGACAGTGATAGGAGACCATGGTGATGAAATCTTCTCTGTATTTGGGGCTCCATTTTTAAAAGGTTTTGCCTCTATGTGGGCTGTGATCTGGGAGTCAGGAGGAGTGGGTCCTAATCTTGGTTGATCGGCTTTCAGGAAGTTTCTCGTTCTCTCCTGGTGCTAGTTTCCTGGCACTCTGTAGCAGAATTGAGATACAGTAGGCAGTCCCCAACCTTTCTCTTGTTCTAACACACATAAAGATGGCTTATATAAGTAGATACCAGACATAAAGCAAAAGATACCCATCCTAGAATCCATAACTCCAGAGAAGCTTGAACCCTCTTAAAGAAACAAATGGAAGTAGATACAGAAATCCACAACTAATCAATGGGCCAAGCTCCTGGAGTACAATTCAAGTGAGGGAGGATCTGGTCTAACAAATAGAGAACCTTCATAGGAACAAACTAGGCTTCCTTAATACAGGTGCCAATGGTATGGCTGGGACAATATATGAGGCCATTGTCAGTGAGTCCAAGATCTAACACTAATGCAAAAACTGACTTAGTGGAGCCCATATAGAGAGATACCTTGCTCATCCTAGACACAGGGGTGTGGGGGTGGAGAGGTGCCTTGGCCCTGCCTCACTGAGATGATGGGACCCGCTTAGTAGACTTCCTATAAGAGGCCTTACTCTCTCTGTGGGTGGAGCATATTGAAGAAGGGAGCAGGAGGAGAGGACGGAGGGGCAACTGGGATTGGAATTTAAAAATAAATTAATTTTTAAAAGATGCCTTATGTGTCACTGGTCATTCTGTGAATCATGACTTGTGGATCCAGAAGAGAGGCCACAAGGCCCTGATCTAGGACTAGAATAACACTCTCTGTTTTCCCACAAAACAACCTCTACTTACTGTCTGGCTGTGGGTCACTGCATTGGTTCCCATCTTCAGGAAGAGACCTCTTTTATGATGGATGAGCAAAGTACTGCTATATGAATTTAGAACAGTGTCATTAGGAGTCATCTTTTTGCCACATTTTTGTTATTTATTAATTTTTTTGCAAAAGTAGCAATTGGCTTTGCCCTGGGCTACATGGCCTCAAATTCTGAGTCATTCAAGCAGTGTCAGTTATGGCCTCTATCTCCCAGAGAGGGTCTTATGTCAAATCACATATGGGTTGGATATCCCACAAGGTTTATGGCATCTTGCAGACAAGACACAATGGTAGATCAAAGGATTTACGGCTACCTGGCTTACTTTACTCATTTGGGAGTGTGCAGAGTGCCTTCCTTACCAAAGGCAATAAAATGTAGGGGTGGAGTCTCTATGTAGGCACCAGCTGGACTTACCCAGGTTCGTTGAGTTTTGTAGGTGATGTCTTCAGCAATGAAGAATCACATCAGTTTGTGGAGAGCAACTATTGTCTTGGGGACAGCATGGGTTGTTTGGGGTTCTCTCTGGGTCCTCTGGCCAGTATCTCAATTAGATATAACCCAATCATAATACTGCAAGCTTCATTTAGTGACAAGAGATGAACAGCTGGGGGTCTGTCTCTGCACTTGTTAACAAATTCATTTTTATTGATTTCATGTATATATATATATATATATATATATATATTAGAAAGCTTCTACTGTATTTTGTTTCTATAATACCTTTTAAATATCCCCTGATTTAGTTGTCTATCCACATATTTTATACCTTGTCTATGTCCCCAGCTTTCTTCCCTTTCTTCACTTGATCTTCCTGTTCCAGGCCTCTTCCTATCCTTCCATAACTATCTGTTCTATTTCACTTTTGTAGGGAAACTATATGATATATTCCCAGGGAACCATAATATATTTATTAACATATTTAAAATTACTGTGTGTGTGTGAGTGAGTGAGTTCGTGCGTGCGTGCGTGCGTGCGTGCGTGCGTGCGTGCGTGTGTGTGTGTGTGTGTGTGTGTGTGTGTGTGTGTGCACCCATGCTTGTGGAGATCAGAAAATAACTTGCAGGAATATTTCCCTACCTCCCACTGTGAGTTCCAATAAAACAACTCAGCTTCTCATGTTTGGTCTCAAGTGTCTTGACCCAAGAAGCCATCTCTGCAGTTCCATAACATGATATTTAAAGAAAGCCTTTCACAAAAGTCGCCAGTGCCTTACCTATCCACACTTGCATAGGCTCATGACCCCACTGCAGGGCTCCTACTTGGCATTTCCTAAGTGGAATGCTCCTCAGTGCTTTGTAGTCCTGATAGCTTTTAGAGCCTGCGGATAGTACTGTGTCTGAGTGACAGAGAAAAGACCAAGATGCACCTCCCCAAAGCAGAGGACAGTCTGGAATATGGCATTCTGACCCTGAGGAAGGAGGGAAAGGCAGATGAACATGGACAACAAAGGCAGCTGGCTCATGGCACAAACATTACAATTGCTGAATCATTTATCAGTCTCTCCCTGAATGTGCACAGTAATTAGCCAGAGTCTTCACACTGAAGGGTTTGACTGAGTGGTTGAAGAGTAAGCACTTAATTCCATTTTCTAACAAGCTCCCAAATGATGCTCCATCTAGTCCACACTTTGAGTAACAGAAACATTTTTTTGCCTTCTCCACAGGGAGTGCTGCAGAAGAGGAGACCAACCTCAGCAAGATGGTGATGAAATACTGGGCCAACTTTGCTAGGAATGGGTGAGCCTGGTGCAAATGTGTAAAGGGTGAATAGGTTGTGTTTAGGCATGCCTTTTGGAAAGGGTGAATTCTGAAGTCAGAGTGACCAAAGCTCTAAACATTTTGTGAGATTATAGTGCTCTATGGCAAGAGTTTTCTAGAATTAATGTAAGCTCTCTGTCTGTAGAGGTAGTCTGCCTCTCAATTGAGATAAGCCAGTGATCCATTATAATTTCAGAGGAAAGGAGGGCCACTTAGAGGTCTTGAGGAATTGTATTTGATTTTGTTCCCAGGAATCCCAATGGGAAGGGGTTGCCACACTGGCCAGAGTATGACCAGAAGGAAGGGTATCTGCAGATTGAAGCCCCTACCCAGCAAGCCCAGAGATTGAAATGGGAGGAAGTTGCTTTCTGGACTGATTTCCTGGTTAAGAAGACTCCTCAGACAGAACACAGTGAGGGATGAATAAGAGTCTCTGCCAGCTTCAGGACCAGAGAAGCCAAGGTGGAGCTATTCCACAAAACATGGTACTCCTCAAAGATGGATCTTACAGAGGAAACTGCAGGACTGGATAGTAAAGGAAGGACGAGGCCAAGGAGGGGTAATATTTGTACCTCATATGGAAAATAAATTTTCTTTTGAAGTCAGTCAGGTGTTGTGTCTTGGTCCACAGATGAATTTGCACTCACTGAGGGCAGAAGGATGAAGACAGATGATGACAAAGAAAGGCACTTTTAGGGGAAGGTTTAGGGAATGTTTGCTGGAATCTGAAGGGAGACAGCTGACTGGAGAGAAGGTGGAAGGTGATTATCCCCTTATGTTTTTCCTCCATGTCGAAAATGCTGTCACACTACAGTGCTAACGGCCACTTATTGGCAATTGTGAAAGTATAAAACCCCTGATAACTACAAAGTCAAAGGGGAGATTGAATCCATCACTGACTCATCTCTATGAACTTCTGCCAAGAATTCATGACTAAGATTGATAGCACATAGGAAGGCTATCTACCAAGTATTTATAGTAAGAATAATAGCACATAGAAAGGCTATCTGCCATGTATTCATGACTAAGAATGATAGCACATAGGAAGGTAAGACCAAGCCTGTGTCCTAAGGTCCAGGCACACCACAACACGCAAACTCTTTTAAATGAAGAAACAAAATCATACAACCTCTGCAGAAAAAGGATGACCCCTTTTTCTAGTGAAGACCCACTGAGGCCAAGGAATGAGAGTTGTGATGGTCTATGCCTCTTAGTGGAGTATAGAACATGGTTCTGGGTAACTGTATAGAGATCTTTCTGTACTGGAGAGAGGCAGGGTTGCTGAGAAGACCCTACTTCCAAGACAAGGGACACAAGGTCTCTCCAAGGTTGGGATTAGATCAGAGTTAAAGTAAAGAGCAGTGGATCTCTGTGATTAAGTCAGGTTTATTAAACAGGTACAAAATGAAAAGTACTCTCACAATACAGAAGGAGGCTGCAAATGTGCTGCTGCTTCGGCACTGATCCTCTCATTCCCAAGGGACATGCGGAGGTCCAGGGAAGGTCACCAAGCATCTGTTGCCCAAAGCTGATTCCAGAGAATCTTCCACAGTCCAAGAGAGAGAGAGCAAGAGACCCATGCCCTCTGTTTTTATCCAGTCAACTTATTCCCAGAAAAGACCATGCCCATTTGGCCAAGCTATCCATTACAATTAATTGGGTGATGGACAGAATTCCCCAAACACTAAAGAGATTGTCTCCACATACTGCCACTGAGTCAGCAGATACCAGGTACCATCTACCAGAAGTCTATGTGTAGTGGAAAGTGAAAATGAGGGAGACAGACTCTCTGTGAGGGGCAGGTGAACAGGCTGAAGAACATATGAAAAAACAGGACAAACATGAAAGAAAATACTTTACAGTAATGTTTAATTTTTAACTCATGTAATTGATGCTAATCTGCTTGAAGTTAGAACGTGTAACATGTAAAGGTCTGGTATTGTTTACAAAAGGCAATCGCTAAAGTATTTTTGTTTTGTTTTGTTTTTAGTTTTTTGAGACAGGGTTTCTCTGTATTACTTTAGAGCAAGTCCTGGACTAGTCACTCTGTAGACTAGGCTGGCCTTGAACTCACAAGATCCCCATTCCTCTGCCTCCTGAGTGCTGGGATCAAAGGTGTGTACCACCAAAGCCTAGAAGAATTTTTTCTATAGTTTGGGGCCTTTGATTTTTTTTAAAGCAGCCTATATAGTAATTCAGTGTTGGAGATAAAATGGAATTGTCATTATGAAACCAAGATGGCATGGAAAATGGAGCATGAAACAAATGAACATTCAGAAAATAATGAGTAGAGTTCACCATATGAGTAATTCTTCTAAATAAAACTGCCTGAAACATATTAGATAACAAAGATCTTGAGACTGGGATTTAAAAGGCAACCCCCAAATGTGTGCTGAGTAATGTGGAGTCCGGATCCACTTCCCGAGCTTTGACTGCTGGTGGCTTTTAAACCTCACCCATCGCCTTCCCCTCTGGCTCCTTATATGGAAAAGCTGATTAGAAAGCCTGGGACTACCTCCCTTGGTACCAGAGTAAGATCCCACACTCATAACCTGGCTCTGGTCCCACCCCTACCACATTAAAGTCCTAAGACAATGGTCTTGCCTTCCTGGTTGAAAGTTGTATCCTGCCAGGCATTGGTGGTGCATGCCTTTAATCCCAGCACTCAGGAGGCAGAGGCAGGCAGATCTCTGTGAGTTTGAGGCCAGCCTGGTCTACAAAGTGAGTTCCAGGACAGGCTCCAAAGCTACTCAGAGAAACCCTGTCTCAAAAGGCCAAAAGAAAGAAAGAAAGTTCTATCCTGTCCCGGACACCGAAGACTGCAGTTCTCTGGGGTAGAAGAGGTTACTCACTCCCAGTGGAGATGCACTGAAAAAGAGATAGGTCAAAAGCAGGAGACAGGGATACCAAACACATAGTGAAAGGACATGTGATGGCTAAAAGGATACCAGGTTAACAGATACCTAGAGGAAACAGGGGGACATAAGGGTCTATTCACAAAAAAGACAAGGCAGTCCTCAGTGTGTGTTTACATACCCATAGTGTCACAAAGAACTGGTATAGTATCTTTACATGCAAGATGCAAACACATAATACACACATACACACACACACACACACACACACACACACACACACACACACGAATCCTAAGACAACTTTGAGTGCTGTTGTACTTTTGGGAAATACTGAGGTCATGGAGGGAAGAGACAGGATAGACCAGGGCTCAGTCATTGCTGGTGAACAGACCAGGCTTCTAGTACAAGAATTAGGCAGCCCACAAAGGATGACAGGAGGTGGTCTAATGTGGTTGAGTTCCCCAGAGGAGTGGAAGGTACTCATTTCCAACTACAAGAGATCAAGGGCATATGGATGGTGTGGTCACAAGACCTCACAATCTATGGAGGCATATATGAAGCTCTCCAGAGGAGCTTTGAAACCACCTTACAGGGACCCAGAGCAGCTGGCCTTCCACCATGTGCTTCTTTGCTTTGGTCCTGGCATCCCTCAGCACTTGCATGGTTTTTAGTGAATTATTCTACAATGCAAACATTGGGGCACATCTGAAGCTCTTGACCTATGATGAGGTGAGTGAAGGTGGGCATAAGAGAATAAATGACAGGTTCCTTTCTGTGTCACTGCTCACCATCTGGATTTTAATATGGGATCAGAGCATCAGAACCCAGAAAGTTCCACCCACCACAGAGATGCAGAGAAGGAAAACACCCTGACTGCAAGTACTGGAAAGTTGTGGAGATAACCCCATACTTTGGTGTGAGGTGTTAAGGGATCCCTAAGTTGTCTCTTGGGACTGACTCTAGCCCTGGTCAATATGAAGAGATACTCAGCAGAGTTTTAGCAACCTCAAACTAAGAGTAAAGCATGTAGGACTAAAGCCTACATCAGCCCTTCTGAGCCCAGTGCCTTTGGGCAAGGCCCTTTAACTGTGCATGACTGGATCATGAATCGGGACAATAGGAAAACATTAGTACCTTCCTCATGAACTGTGGTAAGGATGAAATGGATGGTTGTTTCTATAGCACTTAGCATAGTTTCCGTGACTCAGGATATTAAGCTAAATTAACCTTTTCTCTTCAAATTACGTTTAGTCGTGGTCAATATTACACTAATAGAAACCTAATGTAGATATCATCTTTGGCTCACCAATAATCTTCGTGCCTCAGAGAAGCATAAATGAAGAGAGAACTATCAAAAAAGATGTCACTATAGGAGATGGCTGGAGAAATGACTGCCCAGAGAACTAAAGAAAGGCAAACATGAAGGACATATGCAATGTTTTGTTAAATACTCTATGGAAGACATGAAGAAGCATCTATTCACCCAGATAGAGAAAGAAGAAAAGAAACGTGAACTGATTCTACGAAGCCCACCTTGACTAACCAGTGAGTGAGTGTATCTGGCTCATTGACTGGATCATAGGTGAGGTGTTACCAACAAGGTTACCTAGAAAGCAATTGAGTTATGAATACGCCCTCCCTGTTGTGGAAGAAGAAGTCCCTATCGCCTCATACATGGATGTCCAGAATGAGTAGCTGGAATCATTCTAATGACCTTCCCCAGCCCTTCTCTACAAGAGAATGTTCTCTTAAAGGGTCTCGTAAGAGTCATTTGCAGACATTCTTAGACTCTCTGATCAAGAGGGTAAGTGCTGTTGTGCAAAGGGGTCACTCTGTCACAACAGATGTGAACATGTCTCACATTCCCCCTCCAGGGAGACATTTTAATAATAAAAAGACAAAGGCTGGAGAGTTTTCTAAGTGTTAGAGGCAATGTGTGATCTATTAAGAATGCAAAATTGCTGGGAACCACAGACCCAAGGAGGGGGTTGCACAGATTTATCCATGGATTTCTTCAAGCCTTCAGAAATAAGACTGGGGACATGTAGCAAGACTCCTATAGAATGTGTCTGTGGCGTTTGGGACATGGGACAGTACTGTCCCATTTCCATGAAGGATCAGTACTCCATACACTTTGGGGAAGCTTAGATACCACACGAAGGCTTATTCCTCCAGAGGAAAAACATTTTAAAGTTCTGTAACCCATCATGTGGACAAGACACAGTTCTGGACCAAGTCATCAGAGAGACTTTACAGCTGATGAGAAACAGGGTCACTTAAAGACTATGTATCTAAGAACAAACCACCCAGGGTCCTAGCATGACAATGACTAGAGACCACACTAGGCACTGGTGCTGACTCAGTACATATCCTGTACCAACTGGCAGAAACCAGAGTTGGGTGTGCTGGGGTGGGGGGTTGGGAGGTCATGACTCTGTGGAGGTGGGAAAGCAAGACAGACAGAATAGCACCAAAAGTGTGAGGCAGAATTAAAGTGTGCCATTTTTCTCAAGTTTTTAAAATTTCATGTGACATTGCAATTACACTATAGCTGATATTGATGTA